AGTGAAAACATCCCTACCACCAGGATATGTCCCGTTTTTTACCAGAAATCTAGTATTTAAATGATCTATATGAATAAAATTAATCGATATATTTATCCAGCATTATAAAACAAACGTTTAAATATATAAATAATAGAAACACTATGAATTTTTAACCATTAACCATGCACTCTTGTGCGCCGGTTTTGGTTGGTTTCTTTTGGCTGCCCATTTGGATGTAAGCGTAGGAGAAAAACAGGAAATTCGAAAGTGGAGTCGAAGAAAATGTGGAGAATTTCAGTAGACAAAGGTTCCAAAGAAATTGACAGGATGCACGAAGGCCGCTGTTTATAACACAGCCATATCACTCGCTATCTCTAACCATGGATTACAGTGATTCTCAGGTCCCCATCCAGGGAGCCTAACGCGACGTGCATGACTGAGTCTCCTGGTTAACGATTCATACCCTCGTGCTAGGTCTTTTTTGACCACCCTTGACTTTTTCCACCCATCATCGGTTTCACCAACCTATTTGGCGACATGCGGAACAGATGTCCCAACCACCGTAGTCTGTGGAGGCCGATCATTTATTCCAGTGGACAACCGTGGTTACCTAAAACTCTGCATCTAAAACCAAGATTGCTAGTCCGGTTACCCCACCAGACTCGTGCAGTGCGGCACATACAGCAGTGTTCAAACGCCGACAGTCTATCTTTATATTGTTGTCTTAAGGGCCAAGTTTCTGCGCCGTATAGCATTACTGGCCAAACTGCCTCAGCATACACTCGACCATTCAAAGACAGCCGGATGTTGCGACGGCGCCACAGATATCTCAATTTGACAAATATCAGCCGAGTCTTCTGTATGTGAGCTGGTATTTCATTCGTGCTGCGTCCGCCAGGTGTTATAACTGCCGGTAGCAAACGGGGTTCATATCCACAGATGTTGACCAGTGAGATCGGCAGTCTTGAATGGATCCCTTCCAGAGGCAATTGGTGGCGGTGTGATCGATTTGGGTCCAGCACTGTGAAGAGGTTGGCGGTTTCCAAGTAAGGCTGTGTGTTCTCTTGTGCGAGAAGGTGGTGCTTGACAGGAACAATCCGTGGTCCGCGTAAGGTTGAATTAGGCGATCTCCGTTGTCCGTCCGTTTAGCTGGGATTTTATGTGGTCGACCAAGATGCCTTCGTCCAGGTATCCCACTTGATCATTGATTTCTACGACGAAAACGACTAGGTCCGTTGATCGAGCACTTTGGAGTAATTGAGAAAGATCCTTTTAGAATTTACCATTGATTTCAGNTCAGGTGTACTGCAATTGATGCATATACTGACTCGATGAATACGCATCGGCTCTTCGTTATGTAACTGTTCACCACTGCTGAACCATTTAGATCTATAGCGCACAGTACTCTGCTGATTGGAATCCAGTCAACAAGGGAGCGCTTAGCCTTGGAACTTAGCGCAATTTCANCCAGCAATACCGCGAGCTTCGGAAGTCGAATCGCCTGACACACGAAGGGTGAAGCTTGAGGACAGGGTCGGGTCAGGAAAACACAGGGAGGTGATTGAAGTAGGATGTCGTATGCGTGTTTCGGAGACACAGCATACGTCTAAATTAAATGTTTCAAGGGTCTAACTTAAGCAACTTTTTTGATCGATCTAGTAAAACGTGCGCCCGTGGAACGCGGCTAAGTGAAAAGGTAATTTTGGCTTCAAAAGTCCTATAATTTCTGATTATTTCGCCTTATTTGTAAAACGTTGAGCAATATCCGATGGGTCTCGTAAACAGGAGGCATCTGGAATTATTCGGGATCCTGAGGAACAACTAGACAGATGGGAAGGAGGTTTTCAGATGGGCGCCTAAGACTTTAGAGCACGGTGTACTTCGCAAGAGCCCACATCGACGAAGGGTTTTTTTGGGAACCCTAACCAGAGCGTTTGACTCAAGAGTTCAACCCACAGTGTAGTAGGGCGTAGATCCAACGCAAGAGTGTAACCGAAGCACCAGTGTGGGAACTTCTAGAAGTCTGTCACACAAGGCCTTCGGGTTTCGGTTCAGTGTACTGGTCGCCGGCGCGTTGATTATCAGTCCCCCTTTCGAAATTAGTCATTAGTCTCATTTACCCAATGGGATAAGATAATCGGAACGTGGACGGGACCGCACCTTATTGGCTGGGGGTTGCCCAGCTTGGGCGGGCGGTAGCTGTCCAATGAAATGCGAAAACTTCTCCCATCGTCGAGAGGAAGCCCTAGGTACCCCTCTCCTACGTCCATCTAGCGGGTTCTTTTTGACCGGTAACCCGCCCTCACTGGCTTTAGTTACAGGAGTGACCTCTTTGGGTACGAGCGTGGATAGAAAGGGGATGCCCAAGCATCTGGCCTTGTGTGACTGAGCTGTGTTTGGCCTCTACCCATTGACCTTTCAGGTATGTTTGGATCTGCGGCTGTGAAAAGCCGTCCTGTATAGCTCGCAGGGTCATGGGGGCACGAAAGTCATCATACCATACCAAAACGTAGTTTCTTCTTGGTGAGCTATCATTAACCGTACTTCGTCCACCACCTTATGCGTCTGAAAAGCCCGTCCGCCGATAGACACATGCATTAACTAATCCATTTCCTAACTTTAGACTAGGTCTGTGTTCGCTTAGCCATTTTTCCAGTGCACAAGATCGACTTTTGGGGTTCATACACACAAACTCAGCTTTGGGAAATCGGTTATACCCCTTGTACTGAAGCGATACATCAGTTTACTGGCTTTTTCTACGCAAATACAAATACATGAAACGGTACGAACTGATTTAAGGTACTCAACTTTGAGTAAACAACTTTGGTAAACAAAAGTAAACCTTTTCCATCTATTATGAAGTTTTTTATTACATAGAAGTGAATACACTAGAAGGGGTAAACCCCATAATCCAAGGATATACTGTACGTGTTAAGGTCAAGGAAACATTCAATCTTGAACCATTTTTTTGATTCCGCATGTAAAGACAGGGGTGTTGTAAGTTGGAGGGAGGAACTAAAGGGGAAGAGTATTCCGCAGTTGTACTGTTCTTGGGAAAAAGATGGCTGAAAGTTAGAAATGCGACGTCTGGGGACGGTCACTCTAAATGGGTGGCTAGTCGCTTGTGTGCGGGACCTGCGAAGAATAAGAAGTAAGAGGATGACAGACGCGGCAAGTTCACTGGAACAAAATCCAAAATGGTGTCGGCTGAATGGCGATAAGGAAGCGATTACTCGACCGTGAGCCAGTGACTACGAGTTACATGTTATGGACCGATCGTTGATAAAACGAATGACCTTACATTGAATCCGATCAAGAAGAGACAGAGAAGTTGACGTATGACCGACATATGACCGAAATATTCAAATGTAGGGCGGATCTGAACGTTTGTGAAGCGAGAGGAGGTGAATGATGTTAAAGAAATACCTGATGTGTAAAAGGAAGCCGATTTTGCGAGGAGCGCAAGGGGAGAAAGATTCCTGTTTAAGGGAAGTTTTACTGGTATTAAAGAGAACGCGGTTGCGACAGCCTTAAGCATAAATGAAACCCAGGTAAGAATTTAGGGCGAAACTAAGGGAGGCACAGTCATCACAAATACTACAGTTAGCGATACTTGAAGAGGAATAGGACAATGAAGAGTGTAGGGTAGCGTCATCAGCAAAGGGGTGAATAGGATTTGAAATGAAAGAAAGGTCATCAATGAAAATCAGAAAAAGGGAAGAAGGTACAGAACCGTGGAGGACACCAGTATTCACAGGCACGGAGCGAGACTTGATCTCATCTACTCAATCGGAGATTTGTGATCCTTTGGATAGCTTGCTTGTTCCGAAGGAAAGCCAAACTTGGATATTTTAGCCGGCAGACCTGCGTGCCAGACACGATCGAAAGCTTTAAATATATCCAATGACATGTGGGTTTCTCCGTGGTTGTCGAGAGATTAGGCGGTAGTCATTTGGGTTTTAGTGGCCGTCTCTTTTGGGGATGGGAAATATTTCTGACATTTTCCATGGAGTTGGGAATACCTTATAATCGAAGGCTAGAGAGACTAAACGGCCAGTTCTTGGGTGCACATTTTGCGGACGATAGAAGGAATCTTGTTGGGTTCAGGTGGTTTGTTTGGATGCAGTGATAAAAAGATCTAATCTATCCTTCTGGTGGAACTGAGTGGTATGAAAAGACGGTTCACTGTAGGCGATATGGACGGTTGAATGGATGATTCGAGTAGGGTAGAAGCGGAAGCAAAACGGGAGGCAAACATTTCGGCTTTTTCAAGCGGGCCGTACACTAAGCCGCCATACGGTTTAAAAATGGGTGAGCAGTTAGTGGAACAGAAGTTATGAGGTACTGCCTTAGCAATTGGTCGGAACGTCTGGCTTCCAGAAGGAGCAGTTGCTAACTGTGCTGTTCCGCTCTCAACAAAGCGTTACTTAGTCTTCTATATGATGGTCGTATAGCTGCTGTGGGCTTGCTAGAACCATTTGCGGGAGCAGAAGGAAGGTGGACGAGGCCAGCGGTGGAACGCGACAACGGGTGTGGTTAAAACATTCTGGAGAAAGAGGTTTGTCGGGTTTAGTGAAAGGGAGAGCAAATATGTGCTCGCCTTAAAAAGAACTTTTGAAAAGTTCGAATCTGAAATGGAAACATCGGCGGGGAACCAACCGTCAATGCAAGGGTAGGAAGCAAGAAACTTACAATAGCTGCACCAATCGGAGGAAACATATCGCTAGAATGTACGTCTATAATTGGGAGGAGCAGTGGTACGGATACTTTGGATGGGGAACGAAATGAGACAATGGTAAGATGAGCCTAGGGGAGGGGGAATTGCGGTTGGGGATGCGGATCGGGAAATCAACCAGTTGTCTAATAAGTTACATGATTCTGGGGCGATGTCCCTGAGGAGTGTAAANTAAAAGTCATTCACTGTTGTGGACGTTAAAATTACCCAAAACTGTGCAGTGAGCTTTGGGCTCCACTTCAACAATGCTATCAATGTTTGCCGATGAAATATCCAAGAGTGAATGGTCAATACCATCTGGGAACGGTATACAGTGCAGATGTAGTGTTTGAATAAAGGCAAACGATGTTTCAGCCACAATATCTGGAACTCGCGGTTGATGAGATTGAAGTGGGAGAACTGGGTAGAAGCAATTGAATGTCAAACAAAAGCACAAACACCATTTGCGGGGTTGAATTAAGTGTGAATAGGATAATAGGAAGACTGAAGATGCAAATGTGAAAGGATTACGTGAGTGCGGGTTGTAGTCTATCGTAGAGCGATTTAGTGCCATTGTACCAGGGGCTAACAATACAGTATTAATGATAAAACCAGCTGCGAAGCGGTTCATGAAGTGCTCGGTTCAACAGTTCGTGGCAAAAATCTGTTGGTCTTCCTGATGTCATTTAACCAAGGAGCATCGTGATTTGCTCTTGTCACCATGTTCTTTACTTTTATCGCATCATCTTTCGAGTACGGACTACTTTATGTACTTTTATTTATCCTGTTGAAGAACTGTGAATACTAAAGTGCACACAGCACATTCAGGATGAATCTGTGCGTGTTTGAGTACCATATGTATGATGCATTCCTATTCACGACGAAATTAATCATCAAACAGGTGACCAATAAAACTATTTAGGACACAGTCATGCTTTCATAATTAGGTATATTCATATTGTTTTCTTTCAGTACTTAGCCCTAGGAGTGCCGGACGGTCTGTAAATGAATTCCACCTACACATAAACTCGCCATAGACAGTGTGGAAGAACGAAATTACAAATAGATGTATTTGGGATACCCTCATTAGCAACCGCAGTCTTTGGTATATTTTCGTTGCAAAGCGATTGGCATAAATCGAAAGGCTATTTCGCTTGTGTCAGGTGAGATTTAGTTCTCAAAGGTTGCCTGTGTATGAAAGCAGCATACATCTATGCCGCCACTTAGAATATTATCTAATCTTAATGAACAAAACTCAGCTTTTTCGCCAGTTGACGGGTGCTGGTATCTATTTAAGGACTCTGCACAAGCAGACATAGTGTATCCGACGAACTCGAGCGCTTGGTGTCTTTCGCCTTCAAAAGTTAGCATGCGAATTCTCATGCCTGGTTTGCTATACGCACTATACAGTATGCAAATTCAGTCAGTTATGGGTTCTTGTTTTTGTTACGGTCATGTATGCAATTTTTTCTAATAGAATCTACTTTTTGCTCCTAATTGTCACTAGTTCTGAAGAACGAGGCAATTTTCCTACGGAATATTCCAACCGCTCAATACTACGAAGTGAGCTATATGCATCGGAACGTCATTACGCATGTGGTCTACACAAAGTATGTATTCACTTTCCGCGGATAACTTTACTGTGAACTATATTTGACCGAATTCTCAAAAGCCTACGATAATGTTCTTCAATCTTTTTCAGTTTAGCTCAAATCATTTGACAGCTGCGGTTTTTTATTTACTGTAGATTCATCAATGTAAAATCTTGATAACACTACAACCGTTTTATCCGTGATGAAAATAATCAGCGGAACCCATCTACCTAATCTTGATGTTTCCTACCATTCAAACGCTAGTACAAGGGGCTGTTAAGTCGCTGCGCTTACTAATTGGACCCTGCTGATCAACTTGCTACATGTGGATATTACTCAATCTTTTTACGTACCAGACGTCATCAGACAGTACTCAAACCCCCAAGTTCCTCCGATCATTTATACATTCCCGTAATGTAGCTGCCTTTGTAAGTTATGTAATCCAGTTAAACAACCAACTTGGTTTCCGTGCCCTCCAGAACCATGTTTGATAAAACCCAAATACCAATGGTACCGGATATCTGCAAGTTGGTGCCATTTGGTCCGAAACTTAATACATATTTGGTGACACTAAACCCTGCATCTACTTATTAAGGGAGCGGTGTACAGAACTACACTTCCAAGTGTTTTGCTTTTCGGTTGCCCGACAATTTTTCTCATTCTAAACTGAGACTGGTTTGACTAGGGATTTAAAGTTATTTTTGAGTGTAGTAGTACTCGCGACATCTTTTTCAAACAATGTCAGATCTGTGTTTGATTTGAGCTTGAGAATCTTCTGCTTGTTTCTTTATCTCACCCGTCATTTTGCATTCATACGTACATGTATTTCAGAACACAGTACTTAATGACTTGCAGCAATGATGGTCATTTCAAATTTTGGCGAAAGGCAGATGGAGTCGGTCTGGAGTTTGTGAAGCATTACCGCGCCCATCTTGGTAAGCGTTGAACTTTTTCTTCTCTCTCTGTGGGCACCACATTTCGTGCAGATGC